TTAATTTGCATGATTAATTTTTTTTAAAAGAGAATAATATATTAAGAAAATGAACAAAATATAAAGAAACAAAAGTTCTTTTATTCTTTAATTTGCAAGTACTCCAAGCAGTTTTGGGTTAGACAGAACAACATAGGCTTCGTTGAGTACAATGGCCATGTCGTGACCTGTTGTGCCGGCGATGTTCGAGTGATCTGCAAGCGCCTGGTCGGAGGAACTATCGATGCCCAGGATCATCTTCATCAAACTCCACTAAGCTAGTACAAAAAAAGAATATAAGAGACTGGCTTTTTCAGCCATCTAAACCATATATTATTCACTTAAAAAATGGAATATGATGAAGATCAGAGGGACAAGTCATTGCTTCAGTTGGAAGCAAATAAGTGGAATAAATTTATTTACTTTAACGTTAAACCATGCTTTATATATAGTACGGTGAGTATCGACACTAAATATAATTACTAATTATATATCATTTTAACATTTAATTTAATATATCATAATAATAAGAATAACAATATTTTATCTAAACCTAAAAAAAAAAGTAAAATAGTAAAATACCATTTAAGAGAAAATTAAAATTAACAATATTAATCTGCACTTAAAGCCCTAAGTATTGTCCACCTTATGGAGTATTTCACTTCCAAGAAAAGAAAATAACAATAATGCACATATAATAGAAACTAAAGGAAACCATAATAGTTCACAAAAAAAAAAAAACAAAAAAAAAAACAAAAAAAAAACAAGAGTTCTTTTGATTATACTTGCAACACACTCCAAATGTAAGAGCATCCACATTAGTTGGAGAGATTTGGAAGATAATGTAAGAGTGATTAGGAAAGAGAATGTGGGAGGGGGAGAAAAAGAAAGAAGAAAAAAAATAACAAAACAAAAATTGAAAATAAAAAATAATAAAAAATCTGCCGCGTCAGGCGCGCTGTCAGCGCGCCTGACGCGCTACACGGGCGCGTGCATTGCACGCGCCCGTGTAGACATGGCTGTGCGCAAACGCACACAGCCAGTGTTCTTTCTTTTTTTTGTTTTTTCTTTTTTTCTGACATTATGCTTGAATTTGCAGAGCAATTCTTTTCACAAATAACCCCACCCCACATTTGTTATTATCCCCACCCAAGTTAATAGATCTGACATTATCTCCTCTTTCACTATTGATGTGGATGCTCTAAAAGAGAGTACGTGAAAAGAGAATGCATATAGTACTGACACTCTCTATTATAGATTTACTTTGCATCATAATTTGTTAAGAGTGAATCAAGAAAGTGAGCACAATTAAAAAAAAAAAAAAAAAAAAAGTATTCTTGCTTACAATGCAATTATTCTAAACATAAAAGAGTAGAAAGGTGAGTGTGTAACACATTTTCAAATTATATCTGAAGAAGTAAAATGCAAACAAAGAGACAAACATTATAGTGTTCATCTAAATAATTAGGAAACAATGTGAAAAATATATATCTTGTTTCTAATACTTAACTTGCTACATCATCATCATCTAAGTGAGTTAATTAATTTTTAAAATGGTATTTGATTATTATTATTTTTAAATTTTGTCTATCAACTTTTATTTTGATATAAGTTAGTCGTCTGACTATTATTCTTTTATCAAATTTAGTTCTCTATTAGGGAACTTATTAAACTAGCATTGAATATGAGGACATATTGAAATTTCAAAGGTCCAAAAGAAAAAGTTAAAGTTACAACATATTCTTATAGGAAAACATTGTATTTGTTTAAACTTTTACTAAGGAAAGAATATTATATATATTAGCCTCCAAAGTGCATAGGTTTTGATGCCTGACAGCTTCAACTATGGAGATAGGAGGAAGAGAAGGGGAAAAAATATTTAAAAATTTTGTTTTGTAAACTAAATTGGCGCTCAGGCTTTCAATTTTTTTATTTGTTATTTTATTTTTTAAATTCCTATATTACAATTTATTTTTATTTTTTAAAATTTTATTAATGGTTGGTATATATAGTATTTAAAATTTGATTTTAAATTTATTTTTTAACATTAAAATTATAGTTATATATATATATATATATATATATAGTTAAAATTATTAATTATAAAAAAGTGAATAAAATAATATATGATATGTAAGAGTGTGGAGAAGTAAGACCCACACAAAAGGGAGAAAAGGGTAGAAGAGAAAATGGTTCTCACCTTATCTCTCTAATTTGTGGGTCCAAGTCTTCCACATCACTATATTTCTGAGGAGAAATGAAGCAAAGAGATCTATACAAAAACTCCTTGTCGTGCTAAATATTGGTGTTTTAATGGACTTGACGATATAGTCAATTCAATGCAAAGGCAAAACAAAAGAGAGTAAAGTTGCATTTCTACCTAAATTAATGTCTACATAGTATTTCAATCATAAATCAATGTATGAAGATTCAATTGGCATGATTCTAGCGACATTGAAAAGATAACTTAAAATCTACAACTTCTATTAAGATCATAAAGACTAATTCAAATGTTTCAGGGGTAAAAAAAAAAATTGCTTAAAAGACAAATATGCTACACTAGCCACGAGAGTTGCATTTTGCCTAGTAAGCTGGCTTCAGGCATGGCCGTGCCTACGACACAATAAGCCCCCCACTGATGTTTGAACCATGACCTCTCATTTGAAAAAGTAACTTTGTACCACAAGACCACAAGGTTATCATTGACCAAGAGAGTGTAGTTAATTAAGGCAAATTAATTATATTGTAGATCATGAATAAATGTACATTTTTAATATGAGTTAATACCCAAAATCGTCCTCGACTATAGTGGTTTTTCTCAATTTCGTCCTAAACGACTTTGGTGACCAAATATCGTCCCAGACTTTTGTGTTTCGCTCAATTTAGTCCTCCATTTGTTATTCCGTCAAATTGGTGTTAAATTAAGAGACAATTCAGTAATGTCAATATTGATCTCTCTTTACTTTCAACTTGTGAAGTGCGAAATTCCTCTTTCTTGTACGAATTACACCCAGAATTACTCCCGGACCTGCAAATCAAATTTATATTCGCAGTTTTAGGAGTAATTCGTAAAAAAAAAAAAAGGGATTTCGCAGTTCACATGTCTATGAGTAAAGATATGCTAATATTAAAATTACTGAATTGTCTATTTATTTAACACCAAATGGACAGAATAACAAATGAGGGACTAAATTGAGCAAAAACACAAAAGTCTAGGACTAAATTGAGCGAACACAAAAGTCTGGGACGATATTAGGTCACCAAAGTCGTTTAGGACAAAATTGAGAAAAACCACTATAGTCGAGGACGATTTTGGGTATTAACTCTTTTTAATATATTGAATGTATATTATTATGTATTGAAAGTAAATTATTTTGTAGTATACCAAATAATGTATATTTATTATTCAAATAATGTATTTGTTTTTTGAAGAATAGAACTTAATTCATTAAATTAGAAGAAAGAATAGCAATTCATCAGTTCATCAGTTCATGAAGAAACATGCTTTAATTGTAGAAGAAAAGAAGAGGATGCAAGAGAAGGAAGAATGTTGATTTACTAACTTTAATTTAATATCATGCATAAAAGGTATTAGGCCCATTTATACAATTTCAAAGACTACTCAATGGATCGGACTATATGTAGTCCGTTATCCTAATATGAAAATTGAGACTACTATGTCTATCCAGGCAAATTATATCGTGCACCAGGACGCACAATGCATTGTACATCGTGCGCTTTGGCCAAAACGATATCGTTTTGATTTTTTAAAAAAAAAAAATTCGTTTCTACTGTTAACTTAAAAAAATATATATATTTCGAATGTACATAAATTCATAACAGAATACACATAAACTCATAACAGAGTATACATAATCTAACATAATACATAATATACATAAACTCATAACATAATACACATAAACTCATAATATAATACACATAAACTCATAACATAATACACATAAACTCTTAACAGAATACAGATAAACACATAACATAATACACAAACTCTTAACAGAATACACTGGGGAGTTGACGCGACGGACACCATTCAGTCTATCCAACCGTTATAGTTTTTTTTTTTTTTTTATGTGTATTATGTTAAGAGTTTATGTGTATTATGATAAAAGTTCATGTGTATCATATTAAGAGTTTATGTGTATTATGTATTATGTATTATGTTAATTAGATTATGTGTATTATGTTAAAAATTTAGGTGTATTCTACTATACAATTTTGTACGTACGAAATATGAAATTTTTCAGGGCGCAAAATGCATTGTGCGCCCTGATGCACGATATAACAATTGATCTATCCAATAGGAAGGAAGAAATATAGGGCCAATTTGTTTCAGAAAATTGTTCTTTGTTTTTTGTTTTCTAATATTCCAGTTTTTCATTCTCTGTTTCTTATTCTCTATTTTTTGTTTAGAAAATTTGTTTACTAGCACTCATTTTTTTTTTCAAATTTAATTTGTAGGCTAACTATATAAAATTAACACAAGTGTAATTTCGAGTGATTTTTAGACCTTATATTTAAAATATTTTTGAAAGTGTTTGATTTAAATGGAATAAATATAATTTTTATTTTAAGTCTAATATTTCTTTGCGATGATTAGAATGATCTTATTAATGCTTAAAAAGAGAAAGTTGGTATGTAATATTTTTATATTTGATATCGGAACAAAATTTATATATATATATATATATATATATATATATATATATATATATATATATATATATATATATATATATACTTTGAATTCTAATATATGTGAGATTTTAATATCTAATATCCGGACTAAACTTGTATTACTAATATAACTAAAATTATTTGAAACAATAATCTATTAAGTTCAATCGATAAAATTTAAAATTTAATGTAGCGTTCAAATTTTAATTATAATAATGTAAATAATATCTAACTTTAAACATAAACATACACTCACCATCCAATTAACGGAAAATACACATGCACTACATACCTAGCTACCTACCAAGCAACATGAGTTTATTTATTTATATTTATATGATATGATGATGATAGGATGATTCAATTATGAAACCTTCTTAATTTCTTTTCAGCCACAATAGAGAGAAGTCTTGAAACGCCTTGAGTCCACATCTCGTATTCCTTGTGATTCCTGCACTCGAATTCGATCAATCCCCGCACTTGCGTTTTCAGCCCGAAGTATCTGAACTGCTCTCCTCCCTCGAACAGATGTCTCCCTGGCCATGCCGCTATGTCTTTGCATACCTCTAATACTACATCTACATACAAATTTAATATATATATATGCAACACCTTAATTATTAGTTATCCCAAAACAAAATTAATTAATTAAATTCCACCACTAGCTACTTACTCTTCTTCTTCTTGGTGATGGTATTTGCAACATGCTTGCTCTTCATCTTTAGCACTACCTCCCCGCTACGGTGTATGTACACAGAAACTATTTTCCAGTGAAGATCGCCTGTATATATAGTATATATATCAGCATGTATGAGACACAGAGACAGATATTTACAACACAGTTGATTCTTAAGTGGTAGATTATGGACAACGACAAAGATGAGCCCTAACAGCTGTCATGTAGGAGTTACACTCAATGTGATAGGCTCCTAGCACTGTACTCCCCACCTAATGGACAGTTGAGTCACCCTGATTTATCCTTGTTAGGATTAAGTCTATATCACTACGCCAAAAGTTATAGCTTAGAGCCAAGGCCAACTTTATTTCCTTACCACTATATTTCAATCACCTAACCATCAATTGCTAGACTTGGCCCATCTCCCACCTCCGCCCAACACCTCTCTACTATTTTGTCAAGCCAGAGTGTTGAGAGCCCTGAGGATGGGTGTGATTGATATGGTGGATTTTTTTTGGTTAGATCAGGAAGTATCTTGAGCTGGCCCTAACGATAGGAGACACACACCTTTAAGCATGTATCATATTCAGACTAAACTCAGTTGGCAACAAACTATCTCTATTAAAGGACAAAATACTTGGCCAGATTAATTTTTTCATACAATAGATTATTTGAACTGCTAACCTTTTTTAAAAGATAAAGAATGCATGACCACTCACATCAACCAAGCTGATTAGATATAATGGATGTTGAATGCATGCATAGTAATTGTAATTGTATAGTTATATTTTATACGTACCGTTCCGGGTCCTCTTGAGAAGCTCGCGACCCCGGGCGAGCAATTCTTGGTTACAAACGCCCAGGAAATTCTCTTCAATGTCGAGTCCCTCACAATACCCATTGCCATGGCTATTGCTATTGTTGTTGCCACGACCACCTTTGCCTCTTCCTGCGCCGGCGGCTACCTCATCTGTGGGGATCACTGTCGCCATATTCCAAACTTCCTTCAATGCCCTGGCCTTGAGAGTGGCGGCTCCACGCAGAGCTGTGGCGGCCGCCGCCGTGAGAGTCGAAATGTCCCCATGGGAGCGCACGTTCACGGCGGAGCTAATCGCCGACATAAGGTGGTCGCGGTCGGCTCCCATGGCTTCCGCCGTCTCCACACACTGCGCGGCCACCAGCATTGCGGCGGACGCCACTGCCATGTCCGCCTTGGCCGTGTTCTCGTCCTTTCCGTTCGAGGAGGACGCTGCCGCCGTCGCCGCTGCTATTGCGGCCACCGAAGCCGCCACTCCGGCCACGGAAACTACGGCGTGGAGCTGAGCGTTTTGGGCTCTGCTCTCTTCTTTCTTCTTCTCTCTCCTCTCCTTCAACCATCTCCCCACTGTCTTACCCCCTGCAGGGGTGCCTGCTCCGCCGCTGCCGCTGCTGCCGCCGCCGCCACCGCCATATCCTCCCCTCATATTTGTGAATAATGGCTGAAGAGTGCTGTTTGCTTGCAAGTACTGCACAAATCCATGTTCCCAACTCAGTGCATATCATCCATGTCAATTTCATTTCTTTCCATTATGATCAAACGGTTACCATTGTACCAAAAATTATATATAATTCCTAATAAAAACATAATTTTATTTCTTTATAAATAGTCATCATATTTTGAAAATATTGATTACTAGACTTAACCTTTTAAACTTTTTACAAGTCTAGACCCAATAATTCCCAACCACTAATCGAGTGTTAGATTTGACCTTTATTGACTTCTGTTCAAGACTTTCATTGTGATAATTTTGATGTACATTATATTATTTTTGGGAGAAGAGATCTAACATATCTAAAGATCTTTCTTATTTTATTTATTTATTTATTTTTTCACAAAATTCAGCCAATAATTGGGAAGATAGCATAAAAAGTAATAGTATATATAGGAACATTGATAGATTTGTCATCGTCAGTGCTTGCTAAGCAGGTCAAAAGATGGGCGATTAAACAGGCACATTAAAGCATCCTTAGCTTGTAAAGAGACAAAAATAAAGTTGATTTCGAAAATAGCAAAAGTACATTATGCTATTTGCTTTTTTGAAAAAAGATTTGGCTTTAGATGATAAAATAATATAATATGTCGTCCCTAATCCCTATACTCTATGCTCAATCTAAGAACCCATCATCATTCACTAATAATATTATATTGGGAAAAGAGTCAAATATGCATTTAAATTTTATCAAAAAAAATTAATTACTTTTCTAAACTTTTAAAATGTGTAATTAAACATATTAACATATTATTTTAGTGCATTGAGACCTAAAAACTAGTTAGTGACATGTAATAGCAGGTCACTAATGTTTCGACAACTCTTCATCGCTTTTTCGGCAACAAACACTGGCAATCGGTCGTTGATCACCTTCTCTGTTTCGAAGGCAACCGACCGGTCGCCAGTGTGTATTGTCGGAATTGGTTGGAGAGTCGTCGAAATTTTAGTGACTTGCTATTAGAAGTCATCACTAACCGATTTTCAGATCTCGATCAATACACCAAAATAACATATTGATGTGTTTAATTATTCCTTTTAAAAGTTTAAGAGCATAATTGATTGTTTTAATAAAATTTAATGGTCTATTTGATCCTTTCCCAAATTATATTTTAGGGTTGAATTTCCCTTATTTTATTTTATTATAAGCAGTAAATATATATATCTGGAAATATATATAAATAAGAATTAAAGAAAATATGAGGTACAGTACCTTAACAACATCTTCCATCTCCTCGGAGGGGGAGACCGGAGGGCTATCAGTTTCTTCTGTAAGAGAACCGTTGAGAGGTCCACTGCTATGCGACAGCCTTCCTGAAGTTAACGGCGAGATTTCTTGCCCATTGTGCATCTTAATTAATTAAACATGAAATTAACATAACTTAGTACGTCCAACTAACTCTAATTTTCTTTCTAAATGGAAGTTATAAAATAAATTTCACTTTTCGTCCTTGACTATTATACGTGAATTACATTTAGTCGTTGACCATTAAAATTTTATAATTAAGTGCATGATTATGTAGTTTATATCACATTTAGTCATATCGTCCAATTTTCTGATCACTATTATCGGAAGTACTCCTACTGAAAGAAGCAAATGCAGGGAACACTTCCAACAATAATTAACTGGTAAATTAGAAGACAAGACTAAATATAATGCAAATTACATAGTCAGTCATTCATGCATTTAATTAGTGAAGGGGTTCCTTGTGCGCAGTGAGCACCGGTCTAGCCTCTGTGGTTCATGTTCAGTTGAGTTACCATGATTTACATCCTCCCAAATGCTCTGTCGGGTCGGGATGTTGGGGGCCCTTAGGGTTGGGGTTCAACTTTTTGGAAGAATTAAAAGAATTTAATAATCAAAAATCAATTATGATTCATTCTTTCAAAAAAAAGGTTGAACCCCAACCGTAAGGGTCTCCCAGACCCCCGATCCGACAGAGCATTTGAGATGATGTAAATCATGGTGACTCAACTGAACATGAACCACAGAGGCTAGACCTTTGCTCACTGTGAGTAGGAGCCCCCCTCACTTTGAGAGGTTGCTCCAACACTGCCGTTGGTAAGACTCGATCCCTCCATAAAGCCTAGACCTTTGCTCATTGTGAGTAGGAGCCCCCTCACTTTGAGAGGTTGCTTCCACACTACCGCTGATGAGACTCAATTTTTGATCATTCTTCTAAATTTTCACCTCTATGACTAGTTGAGCTACCCATCAGACAACCAATTATGATTCATGTTTAATAGTGAGGGAGTCAAAAGTGAAATTTTCTAAGAAGTCATTAGTGAACGGAACGTAAGGCACTAACCGATTGAGACATTATGCGTTCCAGCACGAGTTGAGAAGTAGCAGAAGAAGCAAAAGGGAATGCGCTTCCGAGGAGCTTTGCCGGCTCCTCATCTTCAGCGGCGGCGGCAGCGCTCTCCGGCGGCTGGGCTGCAAGGCTGGTGGCAATAGTAGCAGCAGGTTTGGGAGCTGCTAAAGCCTTGCACAGCTGTAGAGCTGAAGCGCTCCATGATCTTGAGAGGAACTCCATGGGCTGTCGTGGACTTTCCGGCAGCTGAAGAAGTCCGGCGTCCAAACTCCTCTCCTTCCACCTCGAATCCATCAACGCTGGCCTGAACGGATTACTTGAATTGTCTCCACTACCTGGGGCTGGGGGAGGGGTTCACTGCTTTTTGAAGAAGACTGGGCGCTACCCCTTACTTAGCTTCCCACTCCGAGCCTTCGTTTTCTTCAATTGCTTTTTGGTGTTGGTTGGGGGTAGAGTGGAATTATGTGGGCTGCAGTTGGTGGTCTATATATGTGTATATATAAACAAATACTTTTATACTTCATGTTTGGTGTTTTTTTTTTTTTTTTTTTTAATAAAAATAATACTATAATTTCAATAAGAATAAGAAAAATGTTTTAGCTACTCCCACGGTAAAAATAAAAAAAAAAAAAAAATTATATGTACTCTTATTTTATATCCTTAAATTTTACTCGAAAAATACTATATGTACTCTCATTCTCTACTCCCAACTTTTGCTCCCAAACTTAAATTTTTTTTTTGTAGGCACATTTACATAGGCTCGAGGCTCACATGAAGAAAACAGTCTATCAATGTCCGCCACATCAGAGAGTAAGATTTGGTAATACATGTAAAACTCATTTTACTCTACACTTAAAATTTTGATGTATGTATACATATTCACGAGGGCCCAAATGAAGAAAAGGAAGACACTTAAAATTTTGATGTATGTAGACATATTCACAGGGACCCAAATGAAGAAAAGGAAGTGAGATTTATTTAAAAGTACATGTAGTAGAACTCCATCCATGTGTTTGGGCCGATTACTTTTGATGGGCTCCAAGCAACACATGGACTATAGTCTTTATTATTATTATTATTATTATTATTATTTGTTGGTAACATTTTTCCGTTAAAACATGTTTTGTATCCAAAACTTTCAGGTGTATTTAATCATGACTTTCGTAGACTTTTAAAATGATAAATTTTAATAAATTTTTATTAACTTTCTTAGAATGGTTTTAAACTTGTGTAGATTAAACTTTGTAAGAGTTTATAAAAATCTAAAAAAAAAAAAAAAAAAAAAAACATTCATAGTTTAACTTTCATGAACCTTTTTTTTATTAGAAAATTAAAAATATATAAAAATAATTAAATTTTTAAATTGAGTACATCCTTACAAACCTTCAATGATTTTGATTTTTATTATTTATAATATTCATGCAAAAAATGTTATAATATATCATAAAATTTTTCCTCTAGTTCTTCATACACATCATTTGCTAATTATATAGTATTAATGAATTGACATCTACAAACGAAACTATTTCATATGAATATTAAGGGTCACACTTGTATGAGACCGTCTCACGGGTCTTTATCCGTGAGACCGGGTTGGATCAGGTCTAGTCAATATGAAAATGTAATACTTATATTGGAAAATGTAATACTAATTAAGAATAAAGTATTTGTTACTTATAAAGGAAAGTATAATAATACTTTTGAGGAAAAATGTATTACATTTTTCATCAAAAGTATTACACTTTCTCTTATAAATAATGTTGGCAAGTGTTTATTACTTATAAGAGAAAATGTAATACTTATGAAGAGAAATGTAATACTTTTAAATCAAAATGTAAAAGTATTACATTTTTCATCAAAAGTATTACACTTTTTCACATAAATAGTTCATCAAAAGTATTATACTTTTCCACATAAATAGTAAACACTTTATTGTTTATTATTAGTACATTTTTCAGTATAAGTATTACATTTTCATCTTGACTCGACATGTCTCATGGACAAGGATCTGTGTGGCAGTCTCAAACAAGTTTTTGCCAAAAATTTAATAACAATATTGAATACTAACATTTATAGTAACAAAATTGTTTAAATAAAATATTTAAAAATATACTTACTAGTTCCATAAAATTAAAAAAAAAATTTAAAAAATAATTTTAAAAATAGAATATATATATATATATATATATATATATATATATATATATATATATATATATATATATAGAGAGAGAGAGAGAGAGAGAGAGGGTCAGGTTCCTGTGAAGTCAGGTCTTCCCGTGCGGTCAGTGCGGCATACACCATTAGGTATGCATAAATGCACCACACAGTGTTCGTAAATACACCATTATGTATGGTGTATTTTTTTTTTTTTTGTGGTGCATTTTTTGACATTTCATTGTGGTGTATTTTCGAACACTGTATGGTGCATTTATGCATACCTAATGGTGTATGCCGCACTGATCGCACGGGAAGACCTGACCTCACAGGAACCAATATATATATATATATATATATATATATATATATATATATATATATATATATATATATATATATATATATATATATATATACACGGGATATATTGCTGGGCATCATACATTTATATGAATATTATTATGAAACATATAGTAAAATTTGATGGTGATAGATGAAAAGTTTGTTTTGTTCATATATTTAGAGAGAAAAAGTTGGTACAGAAAGTTTAGAAGTTAGGGAGAAAAAGTTTGTAAAGAAACTTTAGAAGTTATGGATAAAAAAAAGTTCAGAGAAAGTTTAACTAGAAGTTTGGGGACCAGGACTATGTGGTCTAATGGTACCCGGGTTGGACTTCCATTTGGAAGATTATGAGTTCAAGCCTTAGTGGAGGCGTTATTGGTTCTTTGTGTTTCAGTAGGTTGAGAAAGTATATGAACACATACTACAATGTAATAGAGCCAGTAACTTTCAAAAAAAAAAAAAAAAACTAGAAGTTTGGGGTTGAGAATGTATTTCAACTATTTATATATATTAGTGAAGAAAAATAGTGTATTATATTATATATTTAAAGGCAATATCACTTTTTTACTAATTGATACGGAGTATAATATTACAAGAAAAATAGTAACACTCAAAACATAATAGTATAATACTCAACTATTTTTTTACAGGGCCGTTCCAATAAAAATAGAGGTCCTGTACGACATCTAAATTTGGGCCCCTTTCCACAAAAATAGATATTAATCTAGAGTCAAGGGCAAGGTTGAAAAAATCGTTAGGCGCCTAATTTTTTTTTTTTTTTTTTAAATTTAAACAAAAAAAAATTTAAAAATTATTTAAAATCCTGCCTAGACGACCGCCTAGTTCACGGCAAATTTCTAGGCGGGCGGCTGCCGCCTAGCGCCTAGGCGCGATTTGCAACTTTGGTCAAGGGCATCTCAATTGCTTGGATCATATATGTCAAATAAAAATGAATAATTTGATTTATCATTGTGACCACCATAGTCTAAATAACTATCAATATTCTTATCATTTTTATCATCATAGTGATACATATCATTTAAATTTTTTACAGTCTCACAATCACATTGATCTTCTTTATGAAGATTAGCATCAAATAAATTTTTCTTTAAAAAATAGGAAAAGAGATTAGGAAAAATAGAAATTAAGGATTGGATTACGAGAATATCAAAGTAATAGAAGTATATGATGATGTTTTGTTCCTGTGAGTGTATGGTTACTGCAATATTGTTCTAGCCTTATAATCTCATATAATATATGTATAAAAAGTTTTTTTTTTTTTTTTTTTTTTTTTTTTACAATTGAGCCCCCAAATGTTGGGGGCCAAATTGTAAAAAAAAAAAAAAAAAAAAAAAAAAACATATGTATATATACTATACAGCAGGCTGCGCTGTATAATATATATACATATGATGTAGGATGGGGCCCCCGGCCCTGTTTTTTTACTTATTATATTAGTGAAGAAAAATAGTGTATTATAAATTTAAAGGCAATATCACTTTTTTACTAATCGATACAAAGTATAATATTACAAGAAAAATAATAACACTCAAAACATAATACTCAACAATGTTTTTACTTATTAGTCATGTTTGATAGAAAGAAAGTTTAGAAATCTTGAAGTTGATGGATGACTTTCAATTATTTATATTTGAGATGGAAAACTACGTCTACCGAAGTCTTAAAATACAAAAGTTTATAAAATTTCATAACTTTTTGAATACCACCCGACTTTTAAAGACTTTTTAAAATTCAGATAAATTATTGCTAGCACCCGAAGAATCTAATTAAATTGGGATTTGTATTTTTGTATAAATATACTAATGAAAATATAAACAATTAGAATATTTAACTTTAAAAATATTTTAGAATTTGGAAATTGTGTTACTATTTCAAATAAATTTTGTGAAATTTAACTTTTTATTAATGATTTAGAGCATTAATTTTATTTATTAATGTAATAATTTTAATCATAAAATTGGTAGATAATTAATATTTATATCTATATGAGAATAAAAAATTATAGATATACTACATTTAATTTATATTTACATCTTTTCCTCACATTTAATTCTCTAAAATTTTGAATTTTTTTTCATTTTTCATTTTTTTATAACATAATTTCAGACTTTGCCATACTATATATCATGAATTTTATAAATCTGTCCCCAGACCTATAGAAAGTTAAATCAAACCAATTTAGTTTCGAAACTCAATACCAACTCGGCCAACCTCCTAATGTTAGTGACAAGAATCAAATAAACCTCCCACTACCTTAGTATTGGAAGCAAATCTTAAGTGAGACTTCTCATATACTAAATCAATGCTTCAATTAGGAATATGTTTTTTTTATTAAATTTTTTTTGATATATTAAGTTTCACAACTTATGCTAATCCTAAACTCTTAAAAGAGCGATGAAGGACGTAAATCGCGAATTGCCCAGTTAGTCTTTATTTGGTTTCCTCTCTGTTTATACATTTTGTTTCATCACTTCAGATCAATTTTTTGGAGCTTTGGGTTGAGAGAGAATAATTATGTGATTGGTAGTGGTGAGGCAGTGGGACCTTAGATGAGAAGAGGAAGTGGCAGTGGGTCTCTCTTTTAAGGCTTTATGTGGTCAGATACTAATGGCAATAGCCACTTTGGTTCATCACTTGATCCAATGCAATGGAGATGCGACTGTCTCACCCAACAAAAGAGCTAAAGGGAAACATAAAAAGCCGGAAAATAATAAACACCATTCTCACCCTCATCATTTCGATTCTTTATCACCAACTCAATAATGTTGTGATCATTTTTTTTTTTATTCTACAAAATATTATAAAATATAAAACATTCTATTCAAAGCCATAAAATCTTTGACATATAATCTATTTAGATGAATTGATACTTAAAGTATCAGATATATTTTGAAGTTAAAATAACAATTTTTGCACTAACGTTATAAGAATAAAATTTTATAGGAGAG